TCCAATTCCTTAACTACTGATTAAAGTTCTGTCAAAGAAAAACCTCTCAGCCTTATGATGCTTTCATCACTTGGAATTTTTCTCAGCTTTTGTCATTAAATGCTTTCATTCTGTCCTGCTTGAATTTAAATTTCAAACATATCCATTGATATCACCTCTTAGTTTGCAAACCGTTGCCCTAACATATAAATGAGCTGCACTACTATCCCTCTGTGAGCAGTTTGTCAACTTAGATCTACTGTCTGTAAACTCATTACATGCTAATACATCATTAAAAACTAAACTCCAACAAAGGTTTTTAAGTGATTCAACACTGAAAAATGATACTGAACACTTGTTATGATTTAACAATTCCACACTGAAACTTATGTTGTCAAAGAAAAAGGGATGTAGTTAAAAAAACAAGGTCTACATTGCTCCAACGATACTGAAAAATAAATCATTTTGGTTTCAGTACTAAAACACAGATACTAGCAATCAAACAGCACCTAACCTCAGTTTCAACCGCTAAATAGACGACAACTGGTCTATACCGCAGAATTTAGCAAACAGGTAAATAGTTGATGCCATCCCTGACTGTCTTATGAAATGAAAAATACTTTATTTATCCCAGAAGGGAAATTCAATTTATATAATTATATAATAATAATAATATAATTATAGGCAACTAATGTACAAATATTTTTTAAAGGATGTATCACAATAATTTTTACCTACGCTTCATCTATATATTATATTAAAATGCTCAATGACACCTTTGCAAAGCACGTGTCAAATACACACTTATTAGTAATACCTAGAATGGCAATCATAACACAGTGAACTTACCTGGCTAAATGTTGGCTTATTATGTAATCTGGAGCAGCGGTCGCCATGTCGGCAGGCACCAATTTTAAAATAAAAAGAGCAGTTGACCCTGAAGACAAAGAGACAAAAGTGAAGATAAGAAGAAATAAACATAACAATGCTCTGTACTTTGGTGCTATAAAAAAAAAAAAAAAAACGTATAGCCTTGATGTCTGGGAGAGCTAAAGTATTTGCACATGACTGGAAAAACTACATTTCCCCAGGAAGAGACATTTATTCTCAACAACAGTTATGGCTGAAACAAACTGCGGGGTTCATTGCAATGAGTTATGGGAGTCTTGGTACTTTGGGGTGTGAACTTTGAAGGATTATTAACACCCCTACTCACATGGTTTTATTTTGATGTAAACTTCTAGGTAAATATGCAGCAGGAAATTAAACAGAACTAGTATTAAATGATAACACTTCCATTTCCTGTATGCTGATCAATGGCTTATCGTCCCAACATCTTCAAAGTGAACCATTAATCCAAAGACACCAACATTTTTTTACAAACCTTATGCAAACCAGCTACAGCTACGCACATTCATCATCGCATCAGATTAAATATAGACCTGATTGAACAATACTGGTAAATTATAAATGTGCTATTCTAAACTTGTTCCAATTGTAACACACCCACACATTTGTAATTCTAGTTTCTTAGTCTTAGATCACAATGTTTCTGATCTGAATAAACCTAAACCCAGTTTTAGGCTTTACATTTAAACAAAACTATTGTATGGCTGCTTTGGATTACACTTTACTTTTGGATTACATTAAAAAGGGTTTTGTTTGGTGCCTGGTTCACTGATCAAGTCTCACAGCTTCACAGTCGCTCAAATGAGAAACTACGAGAAACAGAAAATTGAATAAAATATCTGTAAACAGCTGTAAGAGAATAAAAGCAGCAAACATACACCAGCTCTCTGCTCTGAGTTTACTTTTCAGAATTGTTCGACTACAGGCCAGTTTACTGCCTGTTAGCGGACGGAGGCGGCTGCCTGCTTCACGTCTATGCGTGTTTCCCATTGAAACAAAGACATGTGGGTTTGAGCAACTAAAGCGGTCTCTACAGCTAGCTCAGAGGCAGGTGTTAGTAGCCCTTATACGCAACTTTAATGAGTAAATGTGTTCCATTTTGATTCAGAAAACATAATTCGCTATGAGTGTTTTCTTCTATCCATCCCAGCACAGTTGAGCACCCAGGTGTTGCAGGAGCTAACGTTGACTTAGCAGCCGCGGCGCGGTATTTTCCTGACGATAGCTAGCATGCTAGCGCTAGCAGCTAAAGGCAGTGCAGCGCTCCCAGGTAAATGCTGTAAACACCGCGGCGAAGCGTGCTTCTAGTCAACGCTAGCTTCTAGAGAAATATATGAAAACTGCTTAACAATTAACTAAGTTAACGTAAACTACTTACTTATCTTTCTCTGTTCCAAAAATGGATGCCAGATACTCTGCCATCTTAGCTCGCCTGCTCGACCGACGGCAGCATCAACGACTGCATTCAGCTCCTTCACAATAAAAGCTCCGCAAATATTCAATGACTAGAATTTTTTTTTTTTGCACAAAACCTGCCAGGGGCGCCTACACACATTTTTCACAGGGGTGGAAAGATGGATCCATTGAAAATGTTAAGCACATCAAAATCCAGTTGAATTCCAGGAATTTTATGATGCTGCAGCAGAATATATGCTGGTTTAAAACTGTGTCAATATAAGAGTTAAGAAATCTCCTCCAGTAATACCTTTGTTTATAATTTACACTTTAATTATTAGAGAGGTTCTGTACTGCATCTGTACATACACCAATGTCACTTTCATTGCTTGATATGAAAGAAAAATATTCTGACTTCAGTAAACTGATCAGATTATTATAGTAAAATACTATATCTGTGATTGAGCTCAGGATTTAACTGTGTAAATGATGAATGAACTATATCAAATAGACTGTGACTGTGTGTGACAGCTCACTTGTCTGAAGGGAAGATAAATGCATGGTGTTATTAACTGTTAAATCCTGATAAATCCTTTCTCATTCAGTGATCATTTATAATTACAAGTAGATAATGAAGTTACACCTCTGTTGTGTATTGCTGTGTGCATAAATGCATGCATCTCCCTGGGTTAGAGATGCTTGTATGGATTCAGCTGCTGTCTAATGCTGCAGGTATTTAATAAACTCAGAGGAAAGACTCCTACAAACAACCCGAGGGAGAAAACAAACTTGGCTCCTGATAATGCTTTGGGGTTTGTCTTGTGGTTTGTTAGTTTTTGAGTCCAGAGTTAGCGATGCTGTACTAGTTTGTGGTGTATATGAGTCCAAATACATTTCTATGCTTCTGCAGTAGATTAAAAAGTCCCTATTTAAGCTGGACTAACACACTTCCTTGTATGTGTACATACTTGGCCAATAAAGCTGATCCTAAATTATTTGATTTTAAATCAACATCACCAATTGAAACACAACAATTAGCCACTTGCACATTCTACATTTTAGTATTTATATTATTCAGTGTGTGACCCAGGGTTTACATTTTTATTGATATTACTTTATTTAACCTGACTGCAGAACGTGCAATACTTGGAAGCCACAAATGAATCGCCTGTTTCAGTGTCAGAGATAGTTTTCAAAAACTTTTTCTTATGCTTGCTTGTCTCTCTGTGTAGCCCTGTGACAGACTGGCGACCTGTCCAGGGTGTCCCCTGCTTTCGTCCTGAGTGAGCTGGGATAGGCTCCGGACCCCGAGTGAGGATTAGGCAGTGTAGATAATAGATGGATTGATCAAATCAAATCCAATCAAATCCAATTAAATCAAATCCAATCAAATCAAATTAAATCAAACCAAATCAAATCAAATCAAATCAAATCAAATCAAGTTTATTGCCATTTTACTGTATATACAATTTTAGTACAGGCAAGATGGATGGATGGATGGATGGATGAATGGATGGATGGATGGATGGATGGATGGATGGATGGATGGGTGAATGGATGGATGGATGGATGGCAATTGCATTATGTTTTTAATTTAAAACAGTCACAGCTTTTGTGATATTTATGCTATCTCTTATATCAGACGTTTAAAATTGTGATTGTTGTCTGTGTGTTTTTCTTTTAATGTAGCTGCAGTATTAAAAAGGAGCGATAATGAGGATGTAAAAGGATAATAAAATAACTATATCCTATCCTATCCTAATACATGTATGAGGCAGTTCATCCTTGCATTTGAGCAGTTAATATTATAATGGTGACTCATGGGAATGATTCATCTAGTTTTCTACATGCAAATATTGACCTGAACATTTTAAAATTATACTGCAATATTTGTTAGGAAAATGGAAATTGGATATTCTATATATATCTTTATGGCCTCCTGTACAGGCTATATTCATGTGCAAATGACGTGTCAAAATACACATGCATTTGATACACTCACATTGTTAGTTAAACTGTACTCTGTTGTTTTAATGAAAGCTATAAAATGCATGCTAATGTATAACATAGACTTTATGAAAACGAAGTGTCCACTGTACAATTCATCTATAACAAAATATTCTGTCTTCTAAGGACTGGAGTTAAAATGTGTATTTTTCATTGACCTTTATTTTGAAGGCGAGACATTTAGACTGGAAATATTGGTCAGCATGGGTCTTTTATATTTCGAGCATGATTTTCGAAACAAGAGCTGCTTTCATATTGCACATAGATAGAGGCAGTCTTCATTTGTTACTGAGGTATATACAGTATGTGCACAAAGGCCTATTTGCTTCAAGTGAATAGACAATGATGCAACTGTTTTAGGATCTACGAATGCCTTTAGAATAAAAACAACATTCTAAAAGATCTCTCAGACAGTAGGTTAAACTATTCAGTAAATCACTAGTTAACAGATTACCTTAATATGAAGATTTGAACTGTGTATAAACTGTAGATGTCATAAAACAAACATAATGGTAGCTTTATTCTCAGTGACTGAGGAGGTACACTGTCCAGCTGATCATGCATTAACAGGTTCTTTTTAAAACTCTGATTGAGCGTATGGTTTAATGTGCTTGTTTACTCTGTTTTAAGTATAAATTCTACTGATTGCCAGGGAGCAACATTTTGGAAGTCCTATCCTTTGTCAAAAACAGATGCAAATGAGTTTTTTGTTTTTTTTAAAAATAAATTTATTTATCAAATGCAACAAGCGAATTCATACAAGAGTTACAAACGCAACTGCAAATTACGACAAAACATATAGATATTTGTCAATCACTTGTTTATTTGCACATTAAACAGACATTTAACAGCACAAACCAGACATCAGTAGACCATATGGTAAGAGAAATTATTGTGGTTGATGTAAAATGTTTTATAGAATAGAATAGAATAGAATAGAATAGAATAGAATAGAACTTTATTGATCCCCTTGGTGGAAACCTCAGGGAAATTGCTGATTATCTTTCAAAACATGTCACTAAACAGATATCTTCCACAGGTATCGCTGGCTTTGGAGCTGCATATTTCTGATCACTGTTTCTCTCTTTGATCATTTTCTTTCTCCCCTCACTTAAAGCAGTTAGTCACCTTTCTCATTCCTGGTTCTGCCTGAGGTTTCTGTCTAATAAAGGTGATTTTTTTTCATTCCATTATTGCTAAGTGCTTGTTCCAAGACAATCCAATCCTTTCTAAAGGCTCCTTCAGGAAAGTAGTCCTCTTACTATACGAAGTTCTTTGAGATGTTATATGTTATGAATTGGCACTATATACATACAACTGAATTGATTTGAATGTTCATACTCTCTTCATTGCAAGTCTACAAGAACAAATGAACAGTAATAATAATAATAATCATAATAATAACAATAATAATTGGTCAATCACATAGATGCTATCCAATATATTTGGGCATAAGGCTTTTTCAAATGGGGTTTTGAAGAGGAGTGTTGTCCTATAAGTTAATTTTCACTTATAATATGTTACAGTTACATATCGCTAAAAGGAAAACTGCCTGGTTGCTCAGACTCAATATGGACACACAGCTCATTCTTGCCCCCTGGGACTCCTATTAAATATGCAAAACATTCCCAGTTACAAATATCTGAAATAGGTCATGTCAAACTGTTGACCCAGTTACACAGATTGTCCCCATATTCACTGACTCTCAGGTCTTCTTTAGCAAACATGAGTGACTTCACAATAAAACCACCTCAGAGAGGGAAAGATGACACAAAGCATGCTAGTTAATCAGTGGAGTTCGTGGGAATATTTCTGTGAAATGTAAAGATGACTGCCATGGCATATAAGAAACACGCAGATCAACTTTATTCACTTTATGGATCTGGTGGGTGAACATTTGTGCATTTTAAGGTAACTTCAGTGTTTCCAGTTAGTCTCCGCCCCTCCTCACTGAGAGTGTAGTTGGCCAAAAACTTGCATGATACGACTCGACTGTGTGAATTTTGGCTGCTTATCTGCCACAGTTTGACATACTTCAACACCTCTCAAGGTCTGAATTTTAAGAGGTATGGATATATGAGAGATACGGATGCTTGTTGTGGGGAAAGCGTGCTTCATTTGTGTTCCTGTAAAAGCAGTCCTACCGTCGTGCTCGGACTCTTCCCGCTATTTTGTAGCTTAACTAGCAAAGCTAACCTAGCTAGCAAGCTAGCTGTTGTTTACTCATAGTCAGCTTACTGGGAAGAGGCCGCCCACCTCCGAGCCACACTGACGGTGTTAGCCAGCTTCCACAAACGCTAGTGTGCCACGAAAGGCCGCTTCTGGTGCTTTCTCGTTAGCTGGAAAGCAGAGGTATCCTTAGTTGTTGTACCAGTGGGGGTGTTAGCCGAGTTGCTAACAGTAAAGCTGAGCAGACGCAGTTGAGCGGAGAGGCTGCCTGCTGCCGTCCAGCCACAAACACACGGTGGGTATCCGTCCCGAGGCGACAAAACGTTTTTTTTTTCAGTCCGTACTTCTCCGTATAGATGCGGGTTATATTTAACCGAGCGTCGTTTCGGTGTATCGGCGACATTACTGCCGCTGTGCGCTGCTAGTTTAGCTGTAAAAGTCGTATTGATCAGAGCTGCTCTCGGAAGTCTTGCATCGCTGTAAACCTTTAGCCAGGATTTCCGGCTCCTTTCCATTTGCCCTATGCTGTTTTGTTTCCGTTTATTCTATTTCCGTTTTAAAAGTTTTCTACACGCACAGTTAAAGTGTGATTTAGCGGCGATTTGTTGAAGTTACGAAGCGCAACGTAATTTTAGGATATTTTCAGCGTTGTTTAGCAGGCAGGGACCGACGGTTGTGTAATGGGCTGCCTCGCCCCGCGCTGCTATATTGCAGCTAACTTGGTCCGCAGCAGGCCCGCTCCACTGTAGCCACACGTGTAGCCCGCTGTGTAAATAGTAGTTTTGTGTGTTTTTACAACATGTGTTTCAGACGTTTAGTTATGTTTGGTCACCATTTTTTGTCACTAATGGCCTACCAGTTGGCCTTTAGACGCCACAGCCTCGCCCTCGAGTTGGCTAACGTTAGCAGTCAGTGAACTGTCCCAGACGGCCAATGAGGAGTCGAGGCTGAGAGGCCTTTATAGTAGAAAACCCCTCACTGCTGCTTCTGTTGACATCATGGACACTTGGGACACTTTGCAATATTTCCTAATATATTCCTCTTATTGCAGTTTATTTGTGGCAGCAGCTTTTATGGAAACTTTTTGTGATACTAACTGTATTTTTTTCTAAATTTTATTTAATTGTTATGGGTATTTTGAAAGGAATAGTCTCACCCATGTCTTATTCAGTTGATTTCATGTTAAAAAAAATATATTATTAAAGTGATTTTCCAGGCAACAATATTATTCGATAGGGTCTGTGTTCTCAAATGTGTGGACTTTCTTTAATTACTTGTCTTGTATTGTCATAAATTTAATGTATTTTTGTTTTGGACTGTAGATTGGACAAAACAAGAAATGGCCTTTGAAGTAATATGATCATTTAAGTTACATATTTTTCAAATTTTAAGCAGTGGTAAATATTTACATATATATGGTGTGTCAACTGTAGTTGCAGTGATTAATGTGACAACTATTTTTAAAGTTGATTAATCAGTTTGTGCCATTTCAAAGGGATAGAAGTGAAATTTCTCTGATTCCAGCTTCTTTAATTAGAAAAAGTAGAAAGTTTCTTTACTCCTCAGTGACAATTATCTGACATTTTACAGGCACAACAACTAATCGAGTATAGTTTAGTAATATGAATGTTTTTTTGCTTCAAGGCACGTGGCATTCATCAACACATGACAGACAAAAGTAGAACTTATGTTAACGGTAAAATTTCAGTCTGCTGTTGACGAACTTCTGCATGAATATAAATAGTCTCTACTTTTGTTGCTTCTTAGCAGTAGCAAACATCCTCTTCTGTCTAAATTGAACATATTTTTGAAGGGCCTTGTAGCTTTACAATTTAGGGTCACGACTAACGGTTTTAGTTTGAATAATTGTCATTGGATCTGTCATTTTGTACAGTTTGTTATTCTTTCTTATCATTTGGGCTCTGGAATGTCAAAAGATAAAAAATAAAAGTGAAAATACCAATCACACTTACCTAGACATTGAGGTCATAGTTTTTAGTTAACCAATAAAGTAAATTAAAAGTAATTTAAACACATTTTTTAAAATGTCTCTTTATTTTAACACTACTGCACTTGATTCTGCCTTTGGGAATGTACTGGAAAACATTTTGTCAGAGTTTTTCAGCCAGTGTTTAGTGTGGTTTGGGGTGTCAAATACATCACATTAAAAGTTCTTTTTCAATACTTTCCTAGAGCTTGTCCATCAGAACATACACAGCATGGCTAAAAGTGAGCCAGAAGAGATGATCGAGATTGAGATTGATGAACGGGAAAAACAGGCGTGCCTGGAGGAAGGGTGAGCATGATAATTACATTAATAAATACTCGATTTGGATTGCAGAGCCATGCATATGCAGCACCTATAATTCTTTCTCTCATCTTTAACATGCAGTGTGGAGGAGCAGACAATCACGGCATCAGATTTAATTCAACAAGACATTGACATAAATGAACCAATTGGCAATTTGAAGAAACTTTTGGAGCCTCGTATCCAAATCCCACTAGATGCGTATGAGATCTGCTTGCAGGACATTCAGGTAACAGTTTAGAAATAAATCACGTCAAGACCTCTTTATGATTGGGTCCCATAGTCATTGCTTAAACTGCAAAGTGTGCTGAGATGTTCCTCTCATCGCTACAAATTCCTCTCATCTGTTGTATTCTTCTTTCTAGCTTCACCCTGATCACAGCCTTTTCGACCAGGGAGTCAAAACAGATGGAACAGTGCAGCTCAGCCTGCAGATTATAACCAAACCAGGTAACGGTCTTCCCCAAATTCATGACACATTTCATATGAAGTTCTCCACATATCAGTAAATAAACAGGAATGTTTTACTATGTGCTTCAAAAAGCCTAATCATTGATGTTCTCTCCTTTGTTCAGGAGAGGAGAAGCTGAACATTTTGGAAATTGTGAAGCCAGTAGAAACGGTAGAAGTGGTGATTGATCCAGATGCGGCAGGGGAAGAGGGTGCTCTGGTGGAGGAGGGACAGCTCATTGCTGTAGAACGTTCTTCTCTGTCTGATGAAACCTCGGAGCAAGTCACACGCTGGGCTGCAGCACTTGAAGGCTACCGCAAAGAGCAGGTCCGCCTGGGAATACCATACGGTGAGGAATATTTTCATGAAACATCCTACTATGGCAAAAAAACAACAATTAAAATGGTGAAAAATACATGCACTTGTCAGTAAGTGAGGACACTCACTCTCTCTCTCCTCAGACCCTGTGCTCTGGTCAGCTGATCAGGTGATCCACTGGGCTGTGTGGGTAATGAAGGAGTTTAGCATCGATGAAATGGAAATAGGCAGCATTCACATCCCAGGTCAAGAGCTCTGCGCTTTCAGCCAAGAGGAGTTCCTTCAGAAAGTGAACAATGGAGAGATCCTGTGGAGTCACCTGGAACTGCTGCGCAAATGTAATTCAGATGGAGGGGTTCTAGGTTTCAGTATGTGCACACTGTTGATGAATAACAGCACTTTTGAAAGTCTACAGTAGAAAAAAATTAAGGCCCAAGACTGTCTAATGTGACCTTTATACAGAATGTAACTTATTCTTTGTGTTTATTTCAGATGTGTTAGCCAGCCAAGACCAGTCTGGAGGGGATGCTACTGTCACTATTGATCAACGTAAGTGTTTTTGTGAAAAAGGCAAATAAAGGTAACCTCTATTGAACCCGTACAGACACTCAGAGCTATAAACGGGATTTGGCCAGTCATGAGTTGCTGAGGTTATCTTGTCTGCTGAGACACAACATTCTGAACTAACTCACATGGAAGTGAACAGAGTTACAAAAAGCTACACCATTGTCTTTTTCTTGGACATGAAACAGCTGTACTTGCAAAACAGTGGATAGTCTATATGCATGTAACAGGAAATTATTGATTATAAAATTAAGTCACATCGAAAATACTGGCAGTTCATCCTGTTTGATCTCTAACTTTTACTTCTGTCTCTCCAGCCGTGCAGATAATCCCGGCTCAAGTGAGCTCATCCACTGCTATAAAAGTGTTGAAGCAGAGCCGTGGCCCCAGAATGCCTCGTATTTCAGGAGAAGAACGCAGCTCACCTGGCAACCGCACAGGTAGTACAAACCAAACACAAGGACTCTTGAAGCAGCTCACATGCGTCTTCTGATGCAGTTTTTTTGCAGCAACAATTTTTGATGATTTGCACTGACTGTCGTGTTCCCCCGGTGCCAGGTAACAATGGTCAGATCCAGTTGTGGCAGTTCCTGCTAGAGCTGCTGACAGACAAGGATGCAAGAGACTGCATATCCTGGGTGGGTGAGGAGGGAGAGTTCAAACTCAACCAGCCTGAGCTTGTGGCACAAAAGTGGGGCCTGCGCAAGAACAAGCCTACTATGAACTACGAGAAGCTCAGTCGAGCCCTCAGGTTTGTTTCTTTTGTTTGTGTTTTTTTAAAATGGGTCCTTTAAAATTAGTTTCATATTGCACTACCAAGTGGTTTGAACACTTGCACTAGACATCCATCCATCCATTATCTATACACCGCTTATCCTCACTAGGGTCGCGGGGGGCTGGAGCCTACCCCAGCTGACTTAGGGTGAAGGCAGGGGACAGCCTGGACAGGTCACCAGTCTATCACAGGGCTAAACTTAGAGACAGACAACCAAGCACACTCACATTCACACCTACGGACAATTTAGAATCACCAATTAACCTGAACACGTTTTTGGACTGTGTGGGAGGAAGCCGGAGAACTTGGGGAGAACCCACACTGCACGGGGAGAACATGCAAACTCCATACAGAAAGATCCCAGGTGTCCTCACCGGGACGTGAACCAGCGATCTTCTAGCTGCGAGGTGCGACCAACTGCGCCACCTTGCAGCCCTGCACTGGACGTATTTTTTTTTAAGAAGAAGGGTACAAATCAATGCAGCAGAAGCCATTACATCCTGTTTTTTCAGCCCAGGAAATGCACATGCGTGACCCTGATATACTGTTAGGCACCAGTGGAGGTGATCCAGCTCAGTCTTCTCAGTGCTAGTTAAAGCTAATTAGTGTTTCCACAGAGTTTAGCCAGAGTTCGTTTTTGTTTTTTCTCAGATAGAAATCCCAGTTCTTTGTCTAAAAAAAAAAAAAATAAATTTGAAGGTCAGTCCAAGTTGATGATGATCATCATGATAGAGCTCCTCCAGGTCCACAGAAGAAATACTGCTGTTTTCATGGGTGTTAGGAAACATGTTATATTATGTGGTATGGGAAACTTTAGCATTGGCACCACAGTACTCTGTTATATCATTTTATTTTGGCATTTTATGATTCAGACTTTCATATTTTCTTTTAGGTATTACTACGACGGGGACATGATAAGCAAGGTGCAGGGCAAGCGCTTTGTCTACAAGTTTGTGTGCGACCTGAGGACTCTGATTGGCTACAGTGCTGCTGAGCTCAACAGCCTGGTGACCGAGTGCGAGCAGAAGAAACTGGCCCGCATGCAGATGCACGGCATCGGGCAGCCCATCACTACAGTGACCCTGGCCACCACAACACTAGAGAAGGACAGCTGAAGGAAGCCACCTTACAGCTGCCGCAGGCAAAGTGTGCCCTCCACAGCTGACTGGAAATCATGTGTCCCACCAGACACGGAAATGCAAGCCTGATCCCAGATCAGTGTGGATTAACAACTTTGTTATTGTCTTTTACAGTTTGATTCGAGTTAGACTGAGGCAGGTAAAGTTTTTTAGCTTTTCTGTAACGCTAACAGAGAAAAGCGTGTTCAGGATGATGGAAGAATGTCTGCTTGTTGTGTGCATGTGATCGAATGAATGAGTGTGACTGGCAACCCAGTTCAGAGCTTTGTGTTCCTTGTCTGTAGTTTTGGATCATTTCCACTGTATATACCGGTACTTCATGTTTTTGATAGCCACAAGGGCAAGTGTATTTTCATATTTTCCATTTATAGAACCTGTTTTGTATTTTATTTAGTGTTTGTTCCCTAAATTGTTGGACCCTTTTTGTCCACTAGGGGGAATAAAGTGGCAAGCATATTTCTTAAAAGCTGTGTGTGATGTGTAAATATTTAAGCTTTTCAAGGTTGTACAAATCATAGCAAAAGACTGAAAATGACAGACAACCAGACAGGTAAATGTACATTCAAAATTTTATTCATGGTATAGTGAGTGTAGAAAGCTTTTTCTTACTCTAAGCAAATGGTTCATTTAACTACACACAGAGGAAGGTCACTGAATCAATGAGAGAAAAAACATCATTTTTAATCACTAGGCTTCAAAGACACCCAGAGTGAGCATCAATACAAATTTTAAACATTCACCTGATTAAGAGCTTCATTTAGTGTCTGTACACGTGTGGGTACAATGCGTAGAGGTGATATGTGTTGTATTTCTATGATATAAATGCATGATATGCATGTCACATTCATGTTTACAATTAATAACTTAATTTAGGGAGAGGGAGATGTGTCTCTGTTGGTGCGACATGTGGTAACTTGTCACCTCTTCATGAGGACAATTATAAGATTTGACAACAGATATGCAGGCAAAGAAATATTCACCACAGGACAAACAGAAGCACTGTACATGTATACACAGGAGATGTAGAAAAATAGAATGTGTGAGAGAGATTTGGTGAAGGAATGTGTTTGGAGAGGAGATTGGACCATCTGGAAAATGTCTGATCTTTGTAGGCCCAACAAGTCTTCGTCTATTTATCACACACTGACTCTCAAGTGCTGCACTGTACAATATTGCTGACACGACTAGAGCAAGGCGATAAACAGGACAAATAAGGGTTTGGAAAGAAAGATGGAGAAACAGTCGGGAGATAAAAATTAAAATGGGCCAATGAGAACCAGATGTCCAAATATTTACAAACAGTGGAATGATAAATCTGGAATGACACGCTTTCATAAAAACCTTCTAGAGTTTGACCTTGATCCTCTTCTTCTAATAAAAACCCAAAGTGCAGCGACAGTTGGCATCAGACGTAACAGCAATAATATTTGGTGGCAATTATCAGACTTCCAAAACGACAGAGTGCATAGAACGCAAACAGTAACACAATCATCTTCCTTTCGGATACTATTACACTTCATATATTACATACGTAGAGAGCATTTTGCCCATGCAGCTAACACAACAGTGAAGCATGGAGATGAGCATTAGGAGCCAAGATTCAGTTAAAGCAAGTCTGTGTGACGACAAAGCAGACCAGATTCTGAATACTCTTTTTCTTCTTCATATCACAAGTTCACAAAGAAGACACTAGAAATGTACAATCCTGCTAAAATATCTAGGGAGAGGGCCTCTCTGGAGGACCTCCACATAAAGTATACTTTATCAGTCATCAATATTGCCATGCACTACATATACTTACAGCTAATCTCTGTCTTAATATATTACACATAAAAAAAAAGAAAATCAGAAAACAAAACATTCAATATTTTTCAGCTTTTATATATTTTGATTATGTATTTTTTCTGCTATTTTTTTTATCTCCTTTTTTGAAAAACAAACCTGAAACACTTGAATCGTGCGGCGGGTTGCTCTGACAGCCCTCGTCTGTCATCTGAGAGCAGGGCAGCGAGGGGGTAATGTGGGGCAGTTTGAGGAGCGATGAGGGGAGTGGCTGGGAATTACATGTGTCTGGTCTCGGCTGTGAGCGTAGAACTGACTCGTATAACCAGTCAGCAGGGTTTTTCGGTACAAACACTATGACGACTTTGCTGTGATTGGCTGAAATGTGCAGGTGAAACAGGGTACCCTTGTCTAACCATTTGCCGGGAAATGTAAGCTCGAGTGTTGCTCTGTACAATCAAGGGATAAGGGATTAAGAAGGCTTTGTTCCATGTCAGTTTCCTTTGGTCCAACCCCCCCCAGACCGAGACATACAAAGATTTATCTTAAAAATCAGCATGTGCAGTTATCCTCGCACCCTTCCTCCTCCCCCCAAACAGGGTGAAAGGTGTAGGGGCTGAGAGCAAGGGAGCAGAATGGAACAGACCGTAGGGGTGACAGTGTGGGGCTGGGAGACGCCTGCAGGAAATGTTGGTGAGCAGCTCTTTAGTTCTGCATCTGCTCAAAGAATTTGTAGGTGGGATTCTCGTAGCCGTTCTGCTGCATCTTGGCCAGGTGACGCTCCTCTGGTGTCACTGCTGCGTCCACCTGTGAACACATGAATGGAGTTAGTAAAACAAACAGCTGTGTTCAATGTAGGCAAACAAATAAAACGGTAGCGCCTTCTCAATCGATCTTTTACCTCGATCACACCGTGATGAATAGAAGTGTACTGTTTCTTCCTCAGCATCACCAAAGTAATGACGATGACAGTTGCTATGACGACCCCTCCAACCATAAGCCCGATAATGGCTCCCTTGTTGGAGCCCACATCCTCAGCGAAAAAGACCTGCCATTAGAAAACAGGGCTATTTACACAGGACCAGAATAAATTACCCAGAGATCAAATGTTAAGTTCTGGATCTGAATGGTTTTCACACCAGTTTTTGATGGTAAACTTCATAACCAGTGCTCTGCCTCTCTTCGGTCTCCATCCGTACTTCGGGCATCTCCTCTGGCTTCAGGGCAGATACTGAAAGCGAAGACAAATGCACAAAGAATGTTATAAGAGCAAATATAAATAAAGAAAATTAGAGCAAATATACAAAATCCTAGTTTCCTAATTAGAAATGCGTTAGTTGAAACAACTCATCATCTAGGCATCCTGAATATATGCATCAAACATCAGAGAGATCCATCTCATGTATGTGACATATTTTAGTCTGAAACCGATGAAAGAGGCAGACCGATGGGCATGTGGAACTAACATTGCTAAAAATGTTTGTACCTACACTTGTTGTATTCAAATGTCCAAATGGGTAGGCATAGTTATTCTTAATACCTCTTGATATACAATAAATGTATATGGGAGAACATGTAATGTGGTGTAGACACGTTTATAACATCTGTAGCATGCGTATGTACCAGGTCGTGTGGGAAGTCCTCTGTCTGGAATTGGACGAGCATCAACGGGCTCAACTGCAGGGACAAAAAAAAAAAAACCAAAGGGATGAAATGTCAAACAATATTAAAATGTTATGACTCATAACAGAAGTCAAGTAGACACATGAACTTATCATTCAGGCAGTGTTTCAAATCAAACTGCTAACTTTACACTTTGTCAAAAAGTACTTCAAGAGTTAAATAAAATGTCTGGATTTATATATATATATATATCATTCTACTATAAAAGGAATAACTTTCTCTGTGTATTGTACACTAATGTGTGTTACCGTGGTTCTCTGTGTTTGGCTGGTTGAAGCTCTCGGGGTGAATGAAGCCCAGCCCATCCAGCCCAGGGTCCATGGGGGCCGAGCTGTAGGCTTGATCGGGCATCAGAGCATCGTTTCCATAACTCACCCTGCCATCCACCTGCAAACGAAGAGGAATGTTAATCAGGATGTGTCGGTGTGGGAGCCTGTCCAATCCTGACAATTATCCGCTATAAAGTCACTCACAGGACTCGTACTTGCTGATGTAATTATGTGTCCCAACATTAAACAGTACATTTGAGTATTAATCATCCGTACAACTGCAATCTCACAGTTTAAATCTTTTTTGTCCTTCAGATACAGCATGCTCCTGGGAGATCTTATTTTATTTTATTTTTATTCCGTGTACCTAATTATTGTCATGCATATTAGCCATCGCCTGCCTTCTCTGTTCTTCTTACCGCACTCCTGTAAAAAGTCCACCAGCCACTAACTATGTCAGCATCTAAGTTTCTGTGTGCATGGCGACTTTGTTTCATCGGCCTGATCATTCTGTCGAGTAGAGGTGATTCTATTAATATATGTGAGAGATTGCGGTTTATACAGGACACACTCCATGCATATGTGAGTGGGAGCAACTCGACTCACCCGCCCGTCGCTCTGCAGGGAAGAGACTTGCTGAGACAGCTCCGACTGAACTCTCTGCATTATAACCGCTACAAAGAAAGGGCATAAAGTGAGCGTGAGAGAGAGAAAGAGAGACGCAGCATGATGATAGATGGCAGGGAGATAAAGAAAAAAAAAAAGCATGCCAGGTGAGGTTCACACAGTGTCCTGATTACTGCAGGAAATCTGACTGTAAAGATGCTGTTTTATCAGCAAACCGTTTGTCAGGGGACCTCTGACACACAAACTCTTTTTTATCCTCACTCAGCACTACAACAGGTTGTACGGTGCCTTAATTAGAGTGGTCTGCATAGTCCCGCTGTGCCTTTAAGATGGTAGTATGCAGGATTAATTAGCCTCCCTTTCTTAATGATAAGCAGAATTAGACTGATTAGAGACACCGCACACGACTAAAAGAAAGACAACGCTGCAACTGGCAAATATAATGTCGCTGCAAGCAGATGCTGGCGTTATTTTAAACAAACATTATGACATGTTTGCTGTTAAACAGAGTGTCTATCCAGTCCCCCCCACCCCCCCAAACTGTTCCAATGTCAAATATGGAGTGTCTGAGCCACCTATTATTGTAACTTTCTCAAAACAACGATCTGAAATTCACACCCACCTCACACTGTGAGTGGTGTTTGGAGGTGAGAGAAGAGCCAGGCACTGTATCTTCAGGATCTCTCTGTCTGTCTCTTTTTTGCACTTTACATGTGTACAACCCAATGCAACAATGTGTCCCGGGAAAATGTGCACAATTTTTCCTGATTTTTAACAACACTGCATGTCACCTTCTCCATCACCCTCTTGATTACAGCCTGGTTTTGCATCTAACATCCACTGCTCATCAACTTTAAACACATTTCTTCGACTTCTAGAAGGCTGTAGTGTCAACACCACCAGCCCGGAACAGTCTCTATAGCCCCAGTGAGCTAGACCACTAATCAAGACTACTGACTACTATTGACTATTGATTAAACAAACAAGCTAAATTGTGTTATTGAGTGAGACTCAAAGGCACTTCTAGGTGGGAAACTGTCCTCCACTCTAAGGACAATAAAGTAACTTTTACACCATTTATTACAACTGTCAAAATTACAACAAC